GTTTCGGCTCCTTACTGGAACCTGTGGTGCTGAGAGATGGCTCCACTCCAGGTAACCTATGATTTGATGAGCCGGGCGCTCAGAGGGACAGTTCCAAGGAGGCCTCAAATCGGAGAAACCAAATCCGTTCCGATTAAAAAGGGGGTCCTGCGGCGATATTGCCAGCTTTTTTTTAAAACACTTCGGTGGGGCAATGTTTCCCGTGGGTTTTGCTTGGGTGGCTATCGGTCTTGGGTAAGTTCCTGTCGTTTTGATGGTAGTGTTGTCGGCTACTCATGTCGCTCTCAAATTTGGTATGCTGAGAGTTTGACCGGAGACAGCTGTTCACTCGAACTCAGGAACTGCGGCACTGATGGGCTACAACATGAACATGGCGTGCTTCCAAGGGGAGTGGCGTACGAAAACCCTCGTCAGCCCCGTGTTACCGTGGCTCGTGCGTGTATGATTACCTGGAGTCTCCTTCTGACCCTTAAAAAATGGTTGGCCATTGCCCAAAATAATGGGGTCATTGACCCAGTTTTAAAGGGTCATGGAGACTCCAGGTATGTCTTTTCGGATCGGGCGCCCGTTTCGGTGGGGAAACGCCCATGTGGAGACACCCTGGGCTTGCCGGATGCTCCGAGGCTGGAGCCGGGGAAATTGAGAAAGGAGCCGGGCACTCGGCTGAAGGGCAAAGCATGGGACATGCTTGGTGTCCAACCCAAAACCGTCTTGTATGTTTTTTTTGCTCTCTACTTTACTTCTTTGTTTTTTTGTCTAATACAGATCAAACTCCACTTTGCCTTTGAGTTTATGGGCCCAAAACACAGGTTAGTTGACCAAAAGAGCGTCCCCCTTCATTGTGATCGGCATGCAGTTGACCCAGGCTCGGTGCTTGGAAGGCATGCCATCAACCCGTGAAAAGGATGAACATTTGGCCATGGTTCCTCTAAACCGTCTAAAGGGGACTGTGCATGGCCAAACTCCCGCACTTGGGATGAAGGAAAGGTACTGTCGACGGACAACATCCACTTTAAAGTCATGGTTGAAACCATAACGTTTGTTGGTATTTACTTTGGGGAATCGACTCATTTTTCCGGGTTTCTGAAGTGGTGCGATTTATGGATTTCGCATCCATTCAGGGCCTCCAGGCAAGTGCCCGCCGTAAGGCCTCTGGCTGGTTTGTTTTGACCGTTCCCGAGGTATGGAAGGAAGTGAATGCAATGGCGGAGAAGACCGGGCCGGGAGCTCGGTGAAGTTTTCGGGTCTGACGGTTTTTTTGGAGGTTGCCCTGTTGAGATTGCGAAAAAGGGGAGCCAAAAGGAGAATGAACCGCTTTTGTTTTTTCTAATATTATATATATATATATCCATAATACATATATATATATATATTTGGGGGGGTGCCCTAGCTCAAAATCTCTGGTTCATGTCTCAAGTTGGATGTCGACCACTCCAAACAGAGCCCAGTGGATTTTTCATTTGGGCTGCCCATGACAGCAGCCAATGAACAAACTCCGCATTTGTTCAGCTTGGTCTGGCGAGTCTGGGGGAGTGGGTCAGACGGGTTGTTGGGGTGCGGCCCTGGAAGCCTCTCCCTCCAGCTGAAGTTTTGAGGGAGGTCGCGGAAAAGCGAAGTTGGCCTCGTGTGTGCCTGTACCCCATACAAAAAACATCCCCAGACCCCAGCTTCGAGATGTGGCTTCGAGTGAGGGTTTTTCGGGGGGAATTTTCATCTTGCGATCCAATGATCAATCTTTGGGCGTCCGGAGCCCAAGCCCAGACTCATTGAGCCTTGAGAGAGCTCTCAGGGCGAAGGTGCAAGTGCTGCCCACAGCAAAGGAGGCACGCCGCGCATGCCGCGCGCGCCGAGACCCACCGGTTTTTGCCGGGGGCTAGACATTTCGATGGGGGAACCTGAGAATGACCCAAAAAAGACCGGAGCTCTTTTGTCGCCTTTGTGAACACTTCTGAACCTTGCGCCGGTTTTTTTGGTGATGTCCAAACATTGCATGGATGGCGAGGCCATCACTGGCGTGGATGCGGTCTACTGCGACAGCTGGATGAGCCGTGGCCCGAGCGAAGCTGGATATTTTTTTCATGATGCGACCCTGGAGGGCAGAAAACATCCCGTGTCTAGGTCCCCCAGTAGTGCCCTTTCTCTCCCCTTTTTTGGGGGAGGGTTCCCCTACAAAAATAGACTACAGAAAAAAGGGTATGGAGGACCTAGGTGTCAATAGGAGGTGTGCCCGAAAGTGATGAATCAATGAATGTTTCGGCTGTTGAGGGTAGTTCTCCCCAATCAGAATCAACCAGGGGTCATTCGATTCCTGAAATTTCCATTACTCTCTTACCTTTTGCACATGAAACCGTTCGACGTTCTGTTGGGTCGGGGGGTGCTGGTTTGGACCATTTTCCTTTGAAAGGGACCATTTCCCGAACGTCAGGTTCCATTTAAAAAATGGTGGGAGGGTGTACCGAAACACACCACCCCCCCCAACCCTCTAGTCTGGGTCCATTTTGGTCTTCAAGAAGAACGCATCCCCCCCCCCAAGGTGTGCGTGCCGGGGAATTTGCCCAGGCTATGGCATTCCAAAGGACGAGGAGGAGGCCAGAAAAAAGCTCTTCATGCCTTTCCAGGCGCTTTCCTCGCAAAAATAGTCATGAAAAAGCACGAAGATCGCCTGTGTCGCGGAGTTTAGGTCACCACGGATCTCATGAAGTTTGCCAAGCCCGATGCAATCTTCATGAATTGCTCGAGTCTCAGAGTCGGGAATGCCAGTTGCAGAATAATATGTGGGTGTGCCTTTTCTTAGGGTACCCCCCCCCCCCCCCCAAAAAGAATTCTGGTTTGCCTTCTGGTTTCCCTTGAACACCGCACAAAATGGGTACCCTGAAAAAGACACACCCATGTACTCCTATGCATTGTATAATGACCCCACGTCGATTCCACCCCCAAAGCACATGCAGAGTGAGCTAAAAGACCACGGGGCAGGCTTGCCTGCGGCCCGCGGCATGGAGCAGACGGCAGAAGTCATTGACGGACCACAGTGGCTTCCTGAGAAACTGAGCGGAGTTGTTTGATCGAAGCAAGTGACATCTAAGTTAGAGGGTTTAGACAACCATTGCAAGGGTTCCTGCGGACCATGACCCATATAAGGGGTCTTGACCATGGCACGCTTTTCAACGGCCTGGACTGTCCCTGGTGTTTTGGGATGGTTTTGAGAGACTGCAAGGCTGACTTGTGAGTCAGCGTCTGCATGAGGTCTGTCGTATTTGACCAAGCTGAAAACCGCCTCCATGCGCAGAAGGCTCGTTTGAGCTTCCGCAGGAATCGGGGGACGCCGGGCGACGCCAGATGCGTTGCTTGATGGTTCCCAGCCATGGGAAATGGAGAGCGGACGTTTGGGCTGAATTAAAAGAGGGGCTTAAGGCTTATGAGATAGCCCACGCAAAGTTTGGCTTTTGGCAAGGGACCAATGAACCAAGTTGGTCAAAGAGGTTCTTCGAGGACTGGTGTATCCTCGTAAACAGATCTTGTTAAAAACCGCTACTGTTTATCCTTGTTGTTCTCCCACCAAAGTGGACGAGCGGCTGGTTGTTGAAACAAACTAATTTACCCTACCATGGAATGCTTTGCGTCTAGGCCTTGCTTGTCTTCCTCATTGCCCCTCAGCGCTTCTCCGAGATTGTGGGCGTTGGGGCACAGCCCGGCAGGCCGATCGCGCGATCTCTCGTCTTTTTTTTTTTTTGCCTGGGGGTCAGTCCAAATGTCGTCTATGGTCCGTTTAAGAGGGATCGTTGACTCTCAAATTCCAAAAAGCAATACCAGGAAATGCCCTAGCCTTCCCCATCACGGGTCTAGCATATTTCGAGCGCTGTGACGTCACTGACAAACGGATGGGTAGTTCACAGGGACAGGACCCAACAAGTTCAGAAGGCAGGTCGCAAAGTACCCAAAGGCTGGGGGCTGCGATGCACACGAAGGCCACTTGGGAGTTTTCAGGGATGGATGTTGGAGCTATGGTGGATGGTCGAAGTCCGTTCGCACCACTTTGAAACGATGGGAAACCATTGCTTGTTGGTATTTACAGGGGAATCATCATTCTAGGGTTTCTTAAGCGGTGCAGGATTTCGTCCATCCACAGTAGGGCCACTTTTGTTTAGAAGCGGTCAATACTGCCTGACGTGCTGAGGTTGGCGTAGCATCCATGGTCCCAAAAGCCATACCTGGAAAAACATCGATGGCCGGCAGATGGTCAGGCCAAAAGCGGTGGACTGAGAGGCTCTCTCGAAATATGGCGAGCCGAGACCACGAGTCAAAAAAAATAAAAAATGGATTGGCTCGTCAAAAAAATGGATTGGGGCCACCCAACATGGATTTCCAGTTTCGCTTTTTGGTTTCGTGACGCCAAGGTGAAAAGGGTACCCTCCACAGACACACACACACACACTGATGGAGCTACGGTGTGGAAAGTATCGGAGATCGAGTATTGGATATTCACTTCGATCAACAGTCGCTTGACTGGAATTCGTGCCTTTTGGGGCGCGCCTGGAGGGCGCATGCCTTTCACCGCGGGTTTGCATCTTCCCGCCGGGACTCAGACTTGGGGCAGCCACACAATGGCCGGCTTTCCTTTCCAACTTTCCCTAAAAGGGATCTACCAGTCAACGCCCAACGCCTGTGCTGGGAAGCGTTCGTTTGCCTGGGAAGCGCAAGCCCGCAGAAGATCTGTCAGCATTCGATTTACCGTGAGTCTCTTGAGATCTCTTGACATCGACGCAACCGAGATCCCGTGGACCGTCCATGAGCCGCAAAAAGTCGTGCGAAAGCAGCAGCGGCACAGAGGTAGCCCCAAAAACCCGTGTTGGCCAATTTTGCTCGGGGGCTCTACTCCCTGGTCTCATGTGGAGAACAAGCCCCCCTCTGAAGCCTTAGACAAGTGTAGGTGATGCCAATTGGGTGTTTTTCGTCTCCACTGCCGTCGTGTTGGGTAAGATGAGCATGACAGCCTTGGCCAGGATCTCTACGTCATATCTGAGTCTGCCTATGGCCTGCGAGGCCAGACGAGTCTTTGTGGCGAATGAACTGTTGCGCGCGAGAAGACGTCCATTTGGTCAAGAATATTTTAGCTTTCCCCTGTTGGTTTTGAAGGGAATCTATCACTACTGGACATATTTTTATTTCTTTCCCGGGGACTTCCCAAAGGTCAGGAACCCCATCCGCATCCACCTTCGATTTGGGTGTCCAATTCAAGTCATCAGCTGTGGGAGGGGACGGGGAGTTGACTTATCGTGGCAGAAGAGGTCCAAACCTCAGGTTTTTGAAGACACCCCCCGGCCTTTGCCTGGAATGAAACTGGGAAGTCAACCCCTCCGCCCGGGATGTCGTTTTGGATTGTCGACACAAGCAAACTAACGTGCCAAAAAGGACACCTACGCGCCTTTTGAATGGTTACAGTTCCAGAAAGACGCCAACATGAAACAAGCATTCAAAGGGCTCTCAAGTTTGCCTTCACGAATCTGAGCTGTTGGTGTCAAGGGATCCCTAAACTTATATTAATTGATTTTCCCTTTAAACCAATCGACCAACCACCCCTACATGCGTCCGATTTTTTGGGGAACCTCCTTCCGCTCGGCGGTTCAGCGGCACCCCACAAATGGGACCGATGTGGGGTCCCCCGGCTTTTCCTCTTCGCGACTCCGCGACCGCGGAACCGGCAGAACCGCCAGGGGACGTGAAGCCGCTGCACTTCACGAGGCAAAGGCAGCGCTTCAAGGACTTCCTGCCGCAGGTGGAGCATGCCGTGCAGCCCAGCGCTTCGCTTCTTGCGGCCGGTTTTGGCACTGCAGCCTCCTGGTCCCTCCACCGATTTTTTACCTCACGCTTTCGGGAAATGGTGCCTTTACAAGGAAGATGGTCCAAACCAGGACTCCCAAAAAGAACCTCGAATGACATCCGGGGATGCATGAAGGTTTCTTGGACGTTTGGACTGAGGGATTGTCATGTGGAGATCACTACGACTTGTCCACACAACCGAAGCTACCGAGACAGGGTATTTAAGCACAAAGCAGCCACTGGGACGCAATTGTACTATCAAGCAAAAGATGAAGGGCTGCGTAGGAACAGGGGTTTTCTTCCTACATCCCTTTCGGGGTGGTTTGAATATCACCATCTGAAGTTGAACCAATCTTGGTTGAGTTGCTGTTTATTTGAGTGATATTCAAAGGGGACACACGGGAGTGTGTTTTGTTGAGGGCACCCTATTTAGGGAGTCGTTTAAAGGGGGGCAGGGGCTCCTGTTTGGTGTTTGGATGTATCCTGTAAGGAACCCTGAAACGGCACAGAAAGGTTTGCCATCATTTTTGTAGGCAAAGCAGCCAGCCAAAAGCAAACTAGGAAGCCAAGTTGGAACTTTCGAAACCCGGCCGGGTCAAGTCCTTCTATTCGGACTAGTCGGGGTTCCGTGTTCCTTTGGATTCCCTTTCAAGCCTTTTGCAAGGGGGTGTCCCAGTCCCAAAGAGAGGCACCCAAAATGGGCGTGCGTTTGGTGTCATCGACGTTAGGTGTGGTTTCTCTACCCACAAAAGCCAGGGCATGATAATCCAATCCACTCCCATCCCGGAAATGGTTCAAGTCCAATCCAAACCAGTCCAAACCACGGCGGCCGTCTTGGGCAACGGGGCAAACTGAGATCTTGCTGGACAATTGCTCCAAGTACTCCCGAGAGATCGAGAAGCTGCGCCAAGAGCGACGGGCCTGGATGGCTTTTTGGAAGGATGCAACGGAGTCGTGTGTCTTTTTTCGCGGGTTCTGCTTTTTCGAGTTTGAAGGGACACCAAAGCAAACGAACCATTTGGGGAGGCCGTCATTTTTGGTTTAGCACGTATGGAGGTCAAGCAATATGTAACAAAGGGTGGCTTCCTGTTTGTATGGTGTTTTGGGGCGGCCTAGGAGCCAACAACAAATGCAGGAAGCTAGTCGGGAGTGCCTTTTTTTTGTTTTGGTGGGTCGGTTTGGACATGATTTCGCTTTGTAAGGATTGTAAGGCTCACTAAATGCGGGCGAGACCCAAACATACGCTTGGGGGGGGGGGGGAAGCTGAGGCAGTAGTTCTCGGCCTGCCTTTTGGGGAACTGCCACCTTTTTTTCGGGGGAGATGGCCGGATTGGAAGCGGCCGAGGCGCCATTTCCTTGGGGAGTTATGTCTGTGATTCGCCATCTGCATTCGGAGGGCCATTTTTGAGGGAGTCCCCATTTTTGAGACAGGGGCCAGCCCCCGAACTCAGGAAGTCCACCAAGAGGAAGAAGGGTGGCGTGTGCGCCCGAGCAAGCGAGCAAGCGAGCGAAGAGGTTCAAGTGTTTTACTCTATGGCCCTGGCTGCGTGCCCCCAAAGAATACCCTTACATGGGTACTGGTATGGGTCACAACTAAACCACCAGGAGTTGGACCGCAGGCAGTGCATGTTTCCGTTTGGGCCAGCTATTTCGGGTACCACTTTTTGACCCGCCAGAAAAGCCTTCGTTTACCTGCAGGTCAGGGCCAGAGTCATTTTGATACAGAGCCTAGACACGAGCCATCGGTCAACAAGAGCTCCGTCCAACTTTCTGGGGCGGAGTGCTCGAGCGCCGAAAACACGGGTAGGTCCTCTATGAAGCTTCATAATCATTGTTGTCAAGCTTATGGTATGACAAAGTCAGGTTGAGAACCTTTCTAACCACAGTCTCTATAAGTTTATAAACCTATATGTAGTAAGTTTCTCTCAACGCCATTATAACCAGATTGGTAGACCTCCTCTTATCAAAACTCCCCATATTTCTCCTGTTCACTGGTTTTAACCATCCACCTTTTGACTGCCAATTTAAATTGTTTTTCCTTTCAGTGGGGTGAGGTAGGGAGAAATCTGGGATCCCATATGTTTTCCTTTGAGGTACCGGGGAAGACAAGAGGAAGGCCAAGTCCAGTTTTGGGGTCCCTCGATTTTGCCGAGTACGGACAAGCCGACCCCGCAATTTTCGATCGGGTGTGTATGCTGAGACCATGTTCTCCGCGGAGGGCATACAGCGACTTTGTGTGCTGAAGACTCTCATCCAGAGGCGGTCCCACGCACGAAACCACTTCGGTTTGGGGTTTGGGGGGAGTGGTTTGCCCAACTCCATTTTCCCCTGGGTCCGTCCCTGGTTTTGGGGAAGGGCGAATCACCCATTCTGGAGGTTCTCATAGTTGAATACAAGACCACTTAGAAGGTATGTAGGAAGAGATGGGGATGTGGGTGGTATTTGTTTCTGTACCATTTGCCAGGAACGTGCTGCAGTGACTCACTGACTCACCCTAATCCCTGGACCTCAGAAGCCTGCCGGCGAGCTTGTTGTTCTGGTTACATCCACAAAATCACCCTCTAAACGGTGGCTGTGGGACACCACCCCCAAAATGTCATTTTGAACCCCAAGACGCGGATAGGTCATTTCCCCTTTGCTTTTTGAGGCGGGGGTTGGTTGAAAGAGATACCCAAAGGACTCCAGTGATGTCGGTGTTCCCTAGTCATGCCCATTGTTTGGAGCGAACCCCAAGACGCAGACATCCAGAGCAAACACCAAGGTAGATGCCCCCAAACCGAAATTGGACTATGCCTACCCAGATTCAAGTCAAACAAATGCGACCTGCGCGTTTCTGCCCGTGGCTTTTGCGATTTTTCTGCAAAGGAATCCTTGCAAAGCTCAGGAGAGGCATCAGGCGCAGCAAAAAGGTTCACAGAACCCCCCCAGAAGCTTCCTACCGAACCTTTCCGTTTGAGTGGTGGGCTTGGATCCTAGCATGTGGGAGGTTTCATAAGTCGTTCCCGATTCCTTTGCAACCATGTTGGTAGAACCGACAGTATAGTGAGGGTGCTGCTTGAGCGCCGCAGGCGGCCGACGGTGCCGGATGACGCTCTGGTGATCTTCTCTGACTTGGATGAGGCGTAGCGGCGTAGCACGCGCAAACCTGCACATAGTTGTGGACATTGGGGGTTGTATCACGAAAATCATTCGCTTTCCTCAACGCTGCTGATGCATGGAAGGACTCTTCCCAAAAGCACTCCGGCAGAGCATGAAGCCTGAACAAAATCCTCATTCTCGGCTCCTTCCGGGGTCCAAGGGCATTTTGGTTTTGGGGCGAGCCCAGTTCCATGTTATTTGGCGGAGCAACTCGAACTTTAACCGGGCGTCTGAGCAACTCGATCTTTTCTCGTACATCCCATGTTGGCGTTTTTCTCAAAATTGGGGACCAATTCCTCCATGGTTTCCCTTTGGTTTCCTTTCAGAACCATCCATTTTTGGCCCCCCCCCCTGTTTCTCCCCCAGAAATAGCTTCCCCCCCCTTGGTTGCTTTGGCTTCTTTGGGCTCACCCCTTTTCCACTACCCAGGCAAGAGCCAGGTGGTCTCGGGCCCAAAGGCCCCAGGTCTCCGCGGCCAGGTGCCTTCCGCGAAGGCCATCCAGATGCTGCGGGTGTGCCAGCCTCGCGCTGCGGCCAAGGCGCTTCCGGGCGAACGAGAGGGCGAGGGAAGCCCGGGGGCTTCCGGGCGTCGTTTGCCCGCTGGCGGTCTGGCACCAAGGGGTACCAACGAACCTTGAACCCATACGAATTTCAACCGACCTGTTTATAATCAGGAGGGGGGGGGGGGGGAACGCTTTTCTCTGGGTGAAATGTGGTTGGAATCAGGCCACTTTTGGAGGGGCCCCTTCCCCCTATTAATAAACTGGGGTTGAAACTCATACTGTGGATGGACGAAATTCTGCACCGTTTTGAAACCATGGAAAAACCATTGTTTGTTGGTATTTACAGGGGAATCATCATTCCAGGGTTTCTTAGGTGGTGCGAAATGGATTTCGTCCATCCACAGTGTGGGGTCAACATTGGTGGGTAACCCTTCGGTGTGGCTAGGTTTTACCTAATGACCGCTTTGCTTGGCGAAACGCCTGGCACTGGGAACGGCTTGCTTGGAGTGGCATCGGGGGCGCCCTTCCCACCGTGGAAGTGCCGGCGCTTTGCTTCCATTTGGTTAAGTTTTTTTTGTTTATATATAGATAATATATATATATATATTTCCCTGTTGGTGTTTAAAGGGAATCTATCACTACTGGACATATCTTTATTTTTTCCAGGGGACTTGAGCAAATGGCGGCTTGGTCTGATTGGAAGGAGGGTGTTTCCGCCAAGAAGTTGGTTCGCTCCAGGTTTCGCTGTGCACTTTAGTGGTTGGAACTTTCTGAAAAGTGGCTGGTGGACATACTGTGGATGGATACAATCCTGCACCGTTTTGAAACCATGGAAAAACCATTGTTTGTTGGTATTTACAGGGGAATGATCATTCCAGGGTTTCTTTGGTGGTGCGAAATGGATTTCGTCCATCCACAGTAGTTCCCGCCGAAATGATGTGTACCCAAGGGTCCCTAAATAGAATTAGTCTCCGGATTCTGTTTCGCCTTTCGAGGGGATTTCGGCTGGTGGTCTGGCAGTTTACCCCCATCTTGGAGTTGTGGAACCCGGTTTTTTCAGCAAGACACCAGGAGGAGAGCACGTCATTTTGAGCATGGCTCACATGGAACCTGAAGACCCGTGGTCTTTAAGGGGAGCACACATTTTTATGTGGTGCTATGGTTACTTGATGGTTCTGGTCATCAAAGACTTGGGCAGACAATTTTCAAGCAGCAACTTGTCATTCCTTGCTGTGCGTTTCCCACCGTTTAGTCACTAACAGGTCCATTCTAGGACGCAAGGGCTCGCGCCACTTGCCTCGGACACATGTTCTGAGACAGATTCTTGTGGATGGAGGGCGGCGTGTTTGGATTTTTTCACCACGTGCCATGGTCAAACTTCTGGATTTTTTGACCACGCTGGTGATGCCTCGGCTCCGCAGGAGGGGCCTTGGATTCAGATGCACTATCCCATGCCCTACAACCTGCGGGCCGGCACCCGAAGCAGATTTGACGCGGAAGTCGGATGGTGATTTGTTCCCTCGGAAAGTACGCAGGAGGACTTTTTGTTCAGCATGGGGCTTGTGCCGTCCACCTTCACCCAACTGGGTGTCTTTTTGAGGGCACCCCTTTCTGGTAGGCTTTGAAAGGAAGCCAAGAGGAGAAACCCCACCAGTTTGGGACGTCCACCAGAAAAGACACTCAGCTGTACCTGGAAACCTGATCGCGCGAGTCGCGCCCGACGGTAAGGTCGGGTGCAAGCGCAAGACGAAGTCGCAGTCCGAGACCCGGAGAGAAGCGACTGGGGGCGATGGACGAAATGTTTGCGGGGAGTGGCGGCGGCGTTTTCTTTTTTTGAAGTCTCCCCGAATTGGGTGTGTCTTGGGATACTGTACGAGGACCCCCCCCCCTTCTGGGGGTTTCCCTACTTTGAGATTTGAGACCCATGGCGAACGCATGACCATGACCATTTCGTAGAGCTTCGCACGCTCGCGGAGGATGCATTTTCAGGGCGCAGGGCCCTCAGAAGGACTTGCTGAGCTCCAGGTCTTTGGTTGAATGCAGGGTTTAGTCAAGCCGGTATTAGGGGCATGGGTCAAAATTAAACCACCAGGGGGAAAAACAAAAAACATGTTTCCATTTACCAGCGTTCTGTTCTGGGTACCCATTTTTGACCCACACCCGTATGGACTTCTCAGTGCAGGGGTAGTCCATTTTGAGACCACTTGATTGGAAGCAATGAATTTGGACCTTGTGCAGGTTTCCTCTCATGCCAAACTGGTCAAGGAACTTAAAGGATCCTGATGGAATGGATGGAGGGCTCCCGCTTTTGCAGGAACCTCGTCATCCGTTTGCTAGTATTTGCTTGACTTCCATCTCATACAACTGTGATGCCTTTAGAACTAAGCCTTTTGTACCCCCTTGAGAAGGGGGCGAATCAAGGTGGACCCCACTTGGTGGTTCCCAGGTATCCGGTTCCTTAGCTTTAGATCCTTTTGTATGGTGGTAGTTTCCATTTAACCCACTAAAAGTTAAACCTTTTAACGGTATTTGGGTTTCGTGAAAGGCCGTCCGGCTTGAAAGCGCCGGCGAGAAAGTCGCATAGGTCTTCGCCACCATGGGCTTCCTGCGGCGGAAGAAGTCGCTGGCCCTGAGGTGAGGGGCCTATGGGTTGAGTTAAAGTCGAAACACTGGCCACCATCAAAAACCCGCCGGCGGGGGCAGGGGGGAGGGGGGGCAAAAGGAGTTGATGTTGAAACAGTGATTCAGACTCTGGTTCAAAGACGTGGTTGAATCGCACCCTACCCTACCCCCCTTTGACGATCCTGGCCGGTACCGCAGGATCCCAAGGCCAGGTCCGCGGCCTGATTTTTGAGGAGGGCCGTGCTCATGGACACCATCTTTTGTTTGGAAGTGGTTCACAGGGGATTCCTGCAAATTAAGTGTATCCTACGAATTTGTCCAAGGTTGGAGAGAAAAAAGCCGGGCAAATTGCAAGTATGTGAGTGGCCATGGATCTGGAGCCAGGAAGTTTTCTCACCATACTTTGCTGTGAGCACGGAGGTACAACATCAGAAAGAACCTCATTGTGCCGGGGCCGAAGATTCTGCTGAAGGCACATATGAGCAACTGACAGAACTACTAGGTAGCCTACTGCTAGTTTTTGGAGAACCCAAATATCAAGGCCTCAACTATGATTTGCCCTGGCCTGAGGCCCAACGCCGGCATTCATCTTACCTATGTAGGCGCCGGCGCCGGTCGACACTACTTTTGCTCTTGGCTTGCGCAACTTGAAGGTGTGCAGGCCGGGCTTGAGCGAAGATTTGTAAGCAGCCTGAATGAACCAGTCAAAGATACGCGTGAGCTTTTGAGTTGCGAGTTCTGACTTTGCGTTCCAGTCATGAAAATTCGGACGCAGCAAGCTTTCATCACCTTTCATCTCAAACTTTCCCAATCAAACCGTTGTTCCCTGATGTTGCGAATCGGTGACAGGGCCGTTCTCGTCAGGGGCTGTTTTTTGAGGACTGGTGCAAGGAAACTGACAAGGAATGGCTTTGTTTTCGATGGTGGCCTCAAAGAACCCGGCTTGTGACAATGGGTAAAGCTCATAGGTGTCCTTTTTGGTTGTTTTGGTAGAAAAACAAATGGCCCTGGTTTACCTGGTGGTTTCATCATCTACCAGGGAAACCCATCTATTTGCCCTAAAAGCACACCTATGGTAACGCCCTTGCCTTGTGCACCAGTCAACTCGACCCTTTCTGCTGGGACAGCGCTTCGAAGCACTTGCCAGGCTCCAGGGCGGATGTGGACTACAAGCTGTTGCACCACGGTGCGCGTCTGAGCGCTTGGGGAAAGTTCCGGCACATCAGCCCCAAAACCAAGGGTGCCTGTATTTCCCTTTTTGAATGTGTGTGTGTGTGTGTCTGTGTCTGTCTGTGTCTGTCTGTCTGTGTCTGTCTGTGTCTGTGTCTGTGTCTGTGTCTGTGTCTGTGTCTGTGTCTGTGTCTGTGTCTGTGTCTGTGTCTGTGTCTGTGTCTGTGTCTGTGTCTGTGTCTGTGTCTGTGTCTGTGTCTGTGTCTGTGTCTGTCTGTGTGTGTGTTTGTTCTCACCCTTTTTGGGTGGTTTTAAAGGGACAACAACCCGAAAGCACACAACTGGGGGTCCTGCGGTTTTTGGTATATTCCCAAATCTACGCCCTAACCACACCGGTTCCTTCAGGGGTTGGGCCAAAGTAAGTTTTCATTGGGTGTGTTTGGGGAAACAAGGGGAGCCCTGTCCCCAGTTTCCTTTTTTCGGCCATAAACCTTTGGAAGGCTTGGGACCTCTCCAGAGCTTCCCTTACAATTCTAGGGGTTGATTCCCCATTCTTTTCAACCATCCTTCTTTTAAAAACCGGCTGTTTCCCCTGGGTTTCCTGAAAAGAAGGATCCCTGGAATGAATGGGGAAGGTACCCCTAGAACAATCCTGAAAGCTTGTGGTTTTGCGAAGTGTAGAACCGTCCTTGGACCCTTGATGCCCACGAAGTGTGGAGCCCCCTGAGTCCTTTCAGCACATTCTGACTCGATGGGGACTTTGCGGCTTGCCTTTGAACACAACCAAAGGAGGGTGTCGCTCGTTTTGACATATGTTTACATATTCCCATTTGCTGGTGCAGTTTTGCAGCGGGAGCAAATGTGAAATGTGAGGTGAAAGCGGACAGGCTGGGAACGTTGTGGCCAGACGGAGGTGTTTACTGGACTGAGAAAATTGAGATTCGCACGCGTGCTCTGCCCAACAAAGAGGAGGATCCAACAGAAGGAACATGATCCAAACTGCCCTCAAATCGAGTCCTGTGTGTGCGAGTGTGCGCGCGCGCGCACGAATGTGCGTGGGCACGAGAGAGAGAGACAGAGAGAGAGAGAGAGAGAGACAGAGAGAGTGTGTGTGTGTGTGTGTGAGTCTGTGTGTGTGTGTGAGTGTGTGTGTGTGTGTGTGTGTGTGTGTGAGAGTGTCTGTGTGTGTGCGTGAGTGTGTGTGTGTGTGTGAGTGTGTGTGTGTGTCTCTGTCTCCGTCTGTGTCTCTGTTTGTGTCACCTTTAGGTTTTGATTCTCGCTCTTTGGCGGTTGCCAGTCATAGGATTCCCTCTTTTGGACTTCAGACGTTTGATGGGTTTAGCAGGGCTCCTTAAAAGATACATTTTGCCACCATTTGAAGCATGTTCCTTTTTCAACACCAAGATAAAGTTGGAAACCACCATTTAGAAGCTGCAATGTTCAGGTGCAAAATGCATCCGGATCCCTGTTCAGTTGACCTTTCACGGGCGGCGTCGGATCGCTCTTCAGCTCGGATTCCCCAGGGTCTCCGCCCGAAACGCCACCGCCACCGAAACGCCAGCGCCAGATCTTGGCGACCAAAGCCACGGCCACCGGCAAACGCCTGAAGTTCTGCGAGGCCCGAGGCCCCGTTTTTTGGAGAGTTCGCCCAAGGAAGCCGAGCTGCAACCATGGAAATTGGGGAGAAGGGTGACACGGGCTATTTGGGCGTGGCTCAAAACAGGAGGGGCAAACCGCAGGTGTTGGCCTTTCCACTTACCAGGCTTCCATGTTGGTACCGGGTGTTTGAGCAGCCATTTGGTTTGTTGGCAAGAGGGAGGGATCTTTGGCGAACATGGGCAACCCCGGCAAGCGGTTCCTCGCGGGTTCGAGAATCCGAAAGGATGCCAGCCATTGACGAGTTGCAATCTTGAACAGTGCAACCTTGTCATGAAAGATAAGAGACCCAATATATTACATATATATATATAGACATATATATATATAACATACGTGCACAGCCCAAACGTATCAGACAAATATATGTATGTATCGTGCATGCTCCATCAACCCACGACATGGTGATTGGTAAAAACTTTGGGGAACCTGACCAGGATGCGGTGGATTTTCAATGGACTCCCAGCATTTGGAGGGGCGAAGTTGGTCAACTTTCCCTATAGCTTGCGTACCTGGCATCCTCCTGGTGGTCCGGCCATGAGGTCCATCGGGATTTCCCTTCAAACCAGACAGGTTGCGCACGAAAGCAACGCCATGCTTTTCGTTTTTCAGGCACATGAACAAGGAAAATTCCGGTACAGGTAAACAGGTGAAAAGGACATGGCGTTGCTTTTCAGGACATTTAATTTACCGGTACATGTACTTTACAGGTAAATTCTTCATTTAGAATCATGTACTGCCTGCTGCATTAATACCACGTATATATATATATATACATATATATACACTGCACACTTAACAAACTCTTTCATCGCAAGCCGCAAGCGCAACCTGGGTCTCAGATCGATGAGACGCGGTTGGCACAAATGGAGCAGCTCCTGCGAGACAACCCTGCCAGGGACTTGGAGGGAAGAGTCTTGCAGGAACGAGGGGACACTTTTATTTCAGGTTGGACATATGGGCCAAGGGTTGGTCGACATCAATGCCAAGGTAGATGATGTCCACCACCGGCTCTGCAGCCAAAGTCAAGTGTCATGTATGTACTGACAAGAAGCATAGGTGTCCTTTTTGGTGGTTTTGGTAGAAAAATCGATGGCGATTCCTGGTTTACCAGGTGGTTCAATCGTCTACCAGGGAAACCCATCTATTTGCCCCAAAAGGACATCTATGAGCGTGCGTGCTCTCGGTTGGTGGGTGTGGTGCCCTGGAAATGCAAAGGGAATGGGTGGGTCTTTTTGGGAGTTGGTACCCCTTTTTGAGGGCACCCCCTGACAGGGTGCCATTCGATCTGGTTTGGTGGTTTGGGACTGGAGGTTCCATCCAGGGTACAATTTGGACCACTTTGTGAGGGTACCCCTTTTTGGGGTTGGCTGAACAGGAGTCCAAAAGATATATTTTTTTTGCACCCTCCCCCCCCCCCCCCGCCCCCAAATTTGACACATACCTAATAGTTCCGGTTGCGGATTGACAAGATTGATATAGCCCTGGGTCGACCAACTGATCAGCCAATGGCAATGGAGTCGACCAATCTATCGGACACTCGAATCCTATGAGAAATCGGGTTGATGAATAGGCCCTGCAACTCATGCCCGAAATGTGCCCAAAAGGAGATTGTTTCATTCCCAAAACACCTCAAATGATTCCCTACTGGGAATGAGCACAGTTCTTTTTCCCGCTTGGTTTCACCATGGGCTTCCCTCTAACCCCCAACAGGCTACGTTTCTCAAGACAGCCATGTTTGTGGCACTCGGCCCTTTTCGTCCCTTTTCTCCTCATTTGAAATCTGCTCTCTTCTGTTATTTGGCTGCAAAACCCTTTAAAGGGAGCCATCTCAAGCTGCAGCTTCGCCTCATTTGCCTCCTTTCAGGTGTCCCCAACATGGGCGGTGTCCCTTTGTTTTTTTCTTTTCAAACCACACACGGGTGCCAACTCAACAAATGTACACGCATTTGCGTCTATTTGCCTCTTGCTTGTTTGGCCCCCTCTATTTTGACACATACCCATGTGTGTGTGTGTGTGTGTGTGTGTGTGTGTGTGTGTGTGTGTGTGTGTGTGGGTGTGCGGGTGTGCGGGTGTGCGGGTGTGCGGGTGTGCGGGTGTGCGGGTGTGCGGGTGTGCGGGTGTGCGGGTGTGCGGGTGTGCGGGTGTGCGGGTGTGCGGGTGTGCGGGTGTGCGTGTGCGTGTGCGTGCGCGTGTGCGTGCGCGTGCGCGTGCGCGTGTGCGTGCGCGTGCGCGTGCGCGTGTGCGTGTGCGTGTGCGTGTGCGTGTGTCGTTTTTTAGGGGACCCTCAAAGTGGATGTCGATTTCCCTTTAAAACCACCCAAACAGTGTGAGTACCAACTCCAAAAAAAAGAAGCGCCACCCAAAACGTGGATCACAGGTTTTTCCCAGAAGAGGGAGGAGCTTCTACCGCCCGACACCGCTGGGTCTCGCAAAAAATCGCCAGCAACCCCGGCTCTTCAGCACCCCCCGAGACCCCTGGCTTTTGGTGAGTACCCCCCCCTCCCTTCCCCCTCCCCCCCCCTCCTCCCCCCCTCCCCCCCTCCTCCCTCCCCCCCTTTCTTTCCTTTGGCACCCCCCCCCTCACCCCCGATTTTCGGCGATCTCAGGTCTCGGTGGCGCGGGCCTGGGAGCGCAAGAGCTCGCTGCTGAAGAAGGCGCCCTACGGAGACCTCGGCGCCTGCCAGGTGTGGGGAGCCACGGCGGCATCGGGCGGCGCCTTCGGCGAGGGAGAATCGAAGCCCAGCGAGCGAGAGCCGCGGGCGGTTTTTTTCTTCCTCCTTTTTTTTGTTTCCCCGATTCATTGCCTGGGAGAAGAAAAACAAACGGCCGCCGGGTTTTGCGGGGTGGTTTTACAAAGTTGCAATTGGTGCGAGAGCTGCGATCGGGGCCCTGAGAAATGGAGACCCGAGAAAAACCAGCTGCTGGTGGTTTCCTTTCAGGGAATTTCCAGGTCCTCTACCTCATTCCCTACTGAGCACCAGCAAGTAAAGGAACACCAGCAGGAAAACCGAAAGCTCGGTTTTTCCTGCGGCTTTGGCATAGGGAGAGCGCACGCCAGAAGGCGGTGGCTCAAACTTGAGGGTACCTACCCGTTGTCAAGGGGGGCCCAAAAAAAGGAGACCATCCTGGACATGAATTTCCACCGCACCAAAGGGTCCAGGCCCAATAAAATTCACACCCCCCTCTTGGGGGTTTCTACCCAAAGCAAAAGAGCTTCCTTCAATCTGAGGGTACAAACCTATTAGGTACATGAAGGGCATTCATACAGTACATGGTGCTTCTCTACACGGGATTCGGAAAAGCCCCCTTTTTGCTTGGTATTTAAAGGGAACCCCAAAGGAGACTGTTGTCATTTTAGGAAATGGACCGATTCCAATTCTGAGAAATACCGTGCTCAAAAAGCACATCTGCTGTATATGCACGTTTCATCGTTTCCTCAACAGCCCCTCGGTTTTTGCGGGAATCATCCTCCACAAAACGAACAATGGACTGCAAATTCTGTCACCTGCTCACATGAGGCATTTGGGCTTCTGTGGTGCTGAAGAGACTCTCCTGGGGAGCCTCACATGTCCTCAATAGAGACTGTCACTCCATAAGGGAGCTTCATCAACATGACAATCCAACGGCGACGATTCCCATGATCGGACGGCAAGGTGCCGTTCGGAGATGGGAATCAGACATGATATGAGTTTGGTGCATTCTGATGACTGCCCAATGACAAAACGGGTTCTCATCAGGTGATACTGTGGATGGGCAAAACATCCTGCACCACTTTGAAGCCATGAAACAACCATTGTTTATCGGTATTTGCGTTGGGGAATCGAATCCTTCCAGGGTCTGAGTGGGTGCGTTTGATGGATTTCGCGTCCAGCCACAACAGAGCCCTCATTAAAAGAAACGCTTCGAACGGTCGATTGTCTCAACTTTCGACGGTAGGGTAGTGACCTGAGGTTGGGTCCACAAGTTCCATTTGGGAAGGACACAATGCAAGCTCACGAAAGTTTCCACGAAAACGAGGGGACTCACAAATTGGAAAAAACAAAAACATGACCGTTCCCGTCAATGTCTCATGTGTTTATGCTGGAGCCTTGAGGGGTTAGTTGGTGACAGGCCCCCTACTTTTCATTTCCATACGGGTGTGAACCTATGTTTGAGCTTGGTTTAGGGAAGCCAAAAGTAAGCCGAGCTTTGTGTGGGCACAGCCACTTGTGTCTTTTTGTCAAAACCAAGTCCGGTTCCAAGCGAACCCTGCGCACCGACGATACCGTGACCACCGTAGAAATGCTTCTCCTTGGAGAACATGTGCATCGAGCCGCCCTTGCCTTTGGAAAGGCCGCCTCGCCGTCCGGTGAGTTCCGCCATGACGGCACTCGGTTCCAGATCCATCGCCAGCATGTGGCCATGGTCACGGTAGCCGGTGATCAACTGATCCCCGTCTTTCTTTGCCATCTGCATACCGACGACGACAGCTTCCTGCCCGATATAAAGGTGACAGAACCCGCCGATGAGGCCCATGCCGTACAATTGGCCGGCTTTTTCCTCAAATCTGCGGATCAGAAGCATTTCGCGGTAAGCGTGGAGTTCTTCGTCCTTGTCGAACTCGGCGATTGCAGGCTTCGCTTTCTTGGCGGAGCTGCGGGTCCGGCTGGCGCTCTTGGAGCGAGCGGGAGTGGTCTTTGATGCTGTGGCCATAACCCTCTTCTCGGCGTGACGTTTCCCCTAAGACAGGTAGCTGCAACTTATCCTGTTGCGCCTGTCAATCCAATCTATTCAATATGGGGAGTTGAAGCGATTTAAATATCTGTAAAAAATAACAAAAATAGTGTTTAACTATATTATTGTTAATCTCAAGAAATAAACTGTTTTTCAGTTTACGTTGTAGCGATGCCCGGGACGAAGCACGACGAGTTCGTTGGTATGCACGAGGTTGAGATTGAGCCGGGCACGTTCATCAAGCATATCCGGATCGAGGCTTTCGGGTCGCAGCAGTCCAACACGAGCGACGAGCTCCTGTCGCTCAGCCGTCAGAAGCTCAAGCTCTGATTCCAGTTCGGACACCTGACGTTCGATCATAGCTCGCCCGACCATACCGAGTTCACCGCTCATGGCATGGAAGCCGAAATACCCCAACGCGGCAATCGCGATTGCAGGCGTGACAAGGCGGCGAATGAAGGATTGTTTTCGCTGACGGGTAGCTGCTCTGGGCACTCTATGGGACCTTAACGCTGAACTCATGGCCTCTTCGTTTCACCACTATGCGGAGTTAGGCTTAATAGAGTCTTGAAGCAGCCCTTCAATTGCACGCAATATCCACGATGGCTTGAGGCACGGGCATGGACCGATTTGCAGAAAACAGGGAAAACATGGTTCTGCGTCAGCTTGAAGGTCGTGGTATTCGAGATAAGAGAATTCTGGCTGCAATGCGCAAGGTTCCCCGGCACCGGTTTGTTTCTCAACGGCTGCAGGATCATGCCTACCGTGACATGCCGCTGGCCATCGGCCATTACCAGACAATCTCCCAGCCGTACGTCGTTGCCCTGATGTGCGAACTGTTACAGCTCTCTGAAACCGACACAGCGTTGGAGATCGGGACCGGATCCGGCTATGCAGCCGCTGTTCTTTCCCAATTGTGCGAGAAGGTAGTCACTGTCGAGCGCATTCCGGAACTCGCGAACAAGGCAAGGTCTACACTTGTCGAGGCCGACGTTCCGAACGTAGAAGTCCATTGCGGCGATGGCAGCCTGGGTATTCCTGATCAAGCACCTTATGATGCAATCCTTGTCTCGGCCGGCGCCCCAACGACACCGGATTCGCTAATGCAGCAACTCAAACCAGGCGGCCGCCTGGTTATTCCAGTCGGCACCACACAATCCCGTCAGGACCTTCTCCGGATCAGGAGAACTTCGGAAACCTCGTTCGAAACGGAAAACCTCGGCGGTGTCGCTTTTGTGCCGCTGATTGGTGAGATGGGTTGGTAAGTTCCCATTCATCTTTGGGAATTCGCACCCAAAAAGCACTTATACTTGGGTCTAGCATCGATCGCTCAAACGACAATGCTCCGCATTGACTGCACTTTGTATTGCTTGGAAAGGCGTCGTCAAAAGCAGTCATTGAGTAATGCAGAAGCAAGGGGAATGTTACTTCTCATAATATTTAACTTCCGAAATCAAAATGATTTCGAAATCTCTCTCGATTTGATCTCCGTAACCTACAAATCTTCTCCCATCAGGATGGAATATTAGTAATTTACTTGAATCTCGGTCTCGTTCGGCTTCATCGTATGGGTGCGGCAGTGTGACTTTACACGATAGTTCTTTGGCCAACACTTGCCCAACCGAATTCACGTTTCTTTCCAAAGCGGGCTCTGCATTCACCACTGCAAACGTCTGAAACGGTCGTTCGCCTTGCATCAACTCAACACCCAAATAGCCGGCGGTATTTTCCAGGCACCAGTATTTTGTGATTTCCAAAATCTTGTTTTGTTCAACATCAAACGCCACCGACAATGAACTTCGCAACGCGATGAAACTGACAGGAATTTCAATGTTAATTTCAATAATTTCGAATCTCATTTGAACCTGCGAGTGTTTGAGCACCAAACTTCCGTTGGCAGGCAGTCAACGACACAACTTACGAAAAACCAAATCTAGTGGGTTCAAGAATCAAAGGACTTTTTCGTCCTACGCAGCTGCCAGTTTCGACAGCTTCGTCAAGATTGTGGCCGTGCCCTTAAGCCGCGAATCTGTCTTTTCCCAGTCCCGGGTCAGCACAACACGCTGATCCGGACGGATCTTGGCAAGAACCCCCTGCTCGGCGATATAGGAGACGAGACCGGCCGGATTGGCAAACTCGCTGTTACGGAAAGCAACGACGATGCCTTTCGGCCCCGCATCCACCTTCTCCACATTCGCCTTGCGGCACAGCCCCTTGATATAGACGATCTTCAACAGGTGCTGGACCTCTTCGGGCAACGGGCCGAACCGGTCGATCAGTTCCGCACCGAAAGCATCGATTTCCTCGGCCTCCGTGACATCGCCCAGCCGTCGGTAGAGTTGCAGGCGCAATTGCAGGTCGGCGACGTAGTCGTCCGGTATGAGCACAGGCGTGCCGATGTTGATCTGCGGCGACCATTGCTCCTCGCCGAAATCGGCACCGCCATCCTTGAGCTGCGCCACCGCCTCTTCCAGCATCTGCTGATAAAGTTCGAATCCGACTTCCTTGATATGCCCTGACTGCTCTTCACCGAGCAGGTTCCCTGCCCCGCGAATATCCAGATCGTGGCTGGCAAGCTGAAAACCGGCGCCAAGCGTTTCGAGCGACTGCAGGACTTTCAGGCGCCGTTCCGCTGTTGCCGTCAGCGTTTTGTTGGCCGGGACCGTAAAGAGCGCATAGGCCCTGGTCTTTGAGCGGCCGACACGGCCGCGCAACTGGTAGAGCTGTGCAAGACCGAACATGTCCGCGCGGTGAACGATCAGCGTGTTCGCGGTCGGAATGTCCAGTCCCGATTCGACAATCGTGGTGGACAGGAGAACGTTGTATTTGCCCTCGTAAAAGGCGTTCATCACGTCTTCAAGCTCACCCGGTGGCATCTGGCCATGAGCTACAGCAACCTTCAGCTCAGGTACCTGCTCTTCCAGGAATGCAAGCCGGTCGGCAATATCCGAGAGCCTCGGACAAACGTAAAAGC